ATAGACTCTATCTATCAGCTTCTCCAGACTGCCCTCCACAAACTACGGTCCTACAGAACTGAAATACCTATTCTCCTATCCAAAAATCAAAGCTTCCTGCCTGTCTGCTCTTCCTCGCACCGTTCCTATACATATACCCTTCCAACATCCCCACATATACCATCCACGTCCTCATATCTGAACAAGGAATGGTCAGTGGAGAACCCAGGGAAAAAAAATCACTGGCTTCTTAAAAAGCAAGAAAGACAAGAAGCCTGAAAGAAAAATGTAGGCAATATTCAGAAATGCAAAAATATAGAAAATAGCAGTGAAGATATCTATTAGTAAATAAGCTTCAGTGAAGTCTCAGTCTTGCTGCTGATGAAGACAAAGGGTAAATGAGAGATCAATAGGCTAATCACCTTCTAGCCAGACTAGATCAGAAAAAAAAAAAAGTTTACCAACTACCCATTATCACTACAACTTCTACAGAGGTAAAAGATATTGAGAAAATATTTTGAATAATTTCATAGCACATATTTCACTGATTTCAGTAAAATGAACAAGTTCTTTTAAAAATGACTAACTTAACCAAACTCATACACAAATACATAAATAACTTGAATAGATCTATATTTATAATTGAATTTGTAGTTAAAAACCACACACATACACATGCATACATATTCAGTTCCAGATGACTCACTTGAGAAGTCCATCAAATATTTACCAAGATAGAATAAATTTATACAGAAAATTAAAGATGAGAAAATATGTTGTACTCCTTTTATAAGGCCAGTATTATTCTGCTATCAATACCAATCAAAGATATCACAAGAAAAGAAAATTACAGATAAATATCCCCACATGCAAAAATTCTTAACAAGTTATAACAAACCAAATCTAACCATTCATTAAAAGGATTATATAGTATCTCTATGTGAGATTAATCTAAGGAAGGTAAGATTTATTTAAATTTTGAAAAAAAATCAATGTAATTTTCTATATTAATATATGAAAAAAGAAAATTGTATAATATTTCAATTGATGCAAAAAAATCTAACATATATTCCTTTTTAAAAAACCTCTCAGTATACTAAGATTAACAGGGAACTTCTCTACTGGATAACTATGAAAGTCTATTATTTTAAAAGACCTATAGTAATTTCATGCTTAACATTAAAAGGCTGAATGCTTTCTTATTAAGAATAGAAAAAAGCCAAGAATGTCCACTCTCATGACTTTCATTTAACATTGCACAGGAGATGCTAGCCATTGCAATAGACAGGAAAAAGTAAATAAAAGGCATCCAGATTGAAAGCAAAGTATACCAGTCTTTATTCATAAGTACCATGGCAATCTACACACAATAACCAATGAGATCTAATAAAACGTTACTAGATCTCAGAAGCAAGTTTGCCAATATTATATGATATGACATTAATATGGAAAGTGATTATTAGTATATACAGTTAAATACAAGTTGAAAGTTGAAAATAAAATAATACAATTTAAATAGCATCAACAGTATAAAAATAGGAATGTATTTGATTAAAAAGCCAAGACTAAATACACAGAATGCTGCTTAAAGAAAATTTTAAAAGCCTAAATAAGCAGGAAATATACCACGTTCATGGGTCAGGGGAGCCAATATTCTTATAATTCCAATTTTACACAAACTGTTATTCATATGCAATGAAACCCAAATAAAAATTCTAGCAAGA